TTTTTAAATCTTATAACAGATACTTTGTCACAGAAGTACAAACAATATCAGTATCGAAACGCATTACAGTTACTTGATATGGGATATTATTTACAATACTTTTTAAATCTTATAACAGATACTTTGTCACAGAAGTACAAACAATATCAGTATCGAAACGCATTACAGTTACTTGATATGGGATATTATTTACAATACTTTTTAAATCTTATAACAGATACTTTGTCACAGAAGTACAAACAATATCAGTATCGAAACGCATTACAGTTACTTGATATGGGATATTATTTACAATACTTTTTTACCTTTGACATAACCTTAATAGTATCATTTTGCGTATTATTTATTTTAGTTCTCAAAAACGATATCACTTACGCACTTTTATTCGTAATTTGGTTATGATATACCGTCATAGGTAAAAAGTAACATCGTTGAATATTTGTCATAAATATGCAAGTTAAATCTCTGGCAAAGTTATGCAGAGAAATTTCACTAAACATAACTCTGATTGGAGGTTTAAGAATCATGCAGTGATACTTGTGGCTTATGCCATTCTTGTAATATTTATCTGTATAAACCACATGATCTACATTGTTGTTTGCGAATATCTTTCTAAGAGCTTGTGATCTATAACGTGGTGAGCGTGAAATAAATAATTGAGCTTCGCAGTAGAGGGGAAACCCAAAGGAGGGGAGGGGGAGAGAAAAAAGGGAGGGGCTCTGTAGACAGACAGGACAGGTACCAACTTATGAATGTTTCAAAGTCACAATCAGCATGACAGGGCAAGAACAACAATGTAATATGTCATCGACGTCCCCAGAAAGTATAAGACAAATTATTATCATGTTGTGATGATAGGAATTACCACATCACCTCGTGAAGTTTTCATGAAGATATTTTTCCTTTGATTTGATGTACATTATTTGTCATTACATACAGAATAATCGACCGCTTATCTCTGGAATGATGGCCACGTAAGATTGTATGATAAATAATATATATAAACGTAAACACTGATAAACATAGTTTTGTTTTATGACGATTGTGCACTACAGTCCTCTCTAGGCCCAAGATAACTTTTCACAACTATTACTCTCTAAAGTAAAAAAAAAAAAAGATTGCAACCCCAATAACACATTTATCAAAGTCAGAAAAGATTAAATGTATAGCTACAAATATACTTACCCATCACCAACATCATGATAAACTGTCTTAACATAGTATTTTTAATGACTTTTATTGAGAGAAAACAAAACGTCTGATCTTATTGTGGCTGCGAAGTCTATGAAACACCAAAATGTTTGTTTTATTCAAGGTAGAATATCAGTCAATATACGACGGGGTTACTGAGATCATTACAAATATATGTGTAATAATTTTTTTTAATCCTTATAAATATCTAAGTAATATTGAAAGGCATTTTCAGTTAATATTAGTCTTAGAAGTATTATAGAATTAATAGTGGAGATACCCATGTTTTTATGGTAGAGTCGTTTTAAGTTTTCTGTTTAATTTTCTAATTGTGAAGATGTTGGAAAAAATATCCAAATAAATAATCTGAACAAAATGCTATTTTATTAGTAGATTTTTCAAAGTGCTATTAATAATAATGAACGTAATATTTTTGTATTAACTTGAAAGTCTTCATTCCCACATCTGATACATCGTTTATTTTAATTCAGTCTTCAATATGTTTATCATTTACAGTTTTTGTTTTGTTATATTCCAGTAGTCATGGATACTACAGTTTTCTCCCAGTAGTCATGGTTACTACAATTTTCTCCCAGTAGTCATGGATACTACGGTTTTCTCATATTGAATAAGCATGATTAAAGTTGCTTTCGTTTCTTTTCAGAACACCTGCAGTGAAATCCGTACAATCCGAATCTTGCCATGAAATAAAAGATGATAAAGTTTTGTCATTTTTCTTTGTGGAAAGTTTCACTATGTAATTATTCTGAAGTCAAAATATTATGAAAACTATAAACTTTTATTTCATTGGTTTCACGGGATTGCGGAGCGGCGTGCATGTGCATTATCAGCCAGCTCCAAGTGGGAAAATCAAAATGGCTGTCAAACTCGTAAAAATGGGGAATTGAGTAAAGTAATGGGTTTTAGAACCTCTCTGGCTCTAGAGCAAGTTTCGAGATGGCCAGAATTCTAGAAGTTGGAAAATTTTCGGACATCCAAACAAATATACGGACACAAGTGACTTTATAATAGAGGTTTAATAAAAGCAGTGTTCAATACGTATGGTGTACGAACACGTATGTCGAGATAGCTAGTCCTACATCAAACGCCCCCTAGTGGCACAGCGATATGTCTGCGGACTTACAACGCCAGAAATCGGGTTTCGATACCCGTGGTGAGAAGAGCATAGATAGCCCAATTGTGTTGCTTTGTGTTTAACTTAAAACAAACAAACCTACACCAAATTTAATACTTTGGACAACTCATTCCTTCTTATTTGTCTCTCAAGAAGTGAATCCAACTAACCTCCGATTTGTAGCTTTTTATTGTACTAGCCTTGGTGGCGCGAAAATGATTATGTTTTACACTTTACTTAAGAACGTGTTAATCGTCCACCGATCATGAAAGTATAATAAAATATTAAAATTTTAAAATCAGAGAAACATCTGTTTTTAAAAGTACAGCAAACATACGTCATCTAATTGTTTGTTTGTTTTGTTGAAGTTCGCGCAAAGCTACACGAGGGCTATCTGCGCTAGCCGTCCCTAATTTAGCAGTGTAAGACTAGAGGGAAGGCAGCTAGTCAAAACCACCCACCGCCAATTCTTGGGTTACTCTTTTACTAACGAATAGTGGGATTGACTGTCACATTATAACGCCCCCACGGCTGAAAGGGCGAGCATGTTTTGGTGTGACGGGGGATTCGAACCCGCGACCCTCAGATTCCGAGTCGAGCGCCCCTAACCATCTGGCCATGCCGGGCCTACCTTATGTAATTTAGCAGAGTAAGTATTAACTTGTTTTAACACTTTTGCCTACTAATACTAACTCATACAAATTGCTCCAATTGGGACTGCTACCACAAAAATACATTTATAGATTCCACAAAGAGAACAATGACTCAATCGACTAGCAAAGAAAATTCGGACAAAATCACGATCTTAGGCTTACGTGTATACTACAAAGAATGCTATAAAAGTTTATATCTTAATTCGGTACTTATATATTTCTAAAAAGTTTCAGAAGAGCGATAGAAACCTGGTTTAATAGTTTTGTTTTATGGAACTGGAAATATGACTTCATTATACAAAAAATGCATTCCTCCTGATTTACTAATATCTGATAAGCAATCTCTAATTTTGTCAATCCATGTGCGGAATGTGTTTTTTTTTTCATGGGCACCAGTATCAAGACAATGTGCGGATGTGCGCTTACCAGTTTTTTTTGTTTTTGTTTTTTTTTGGGGGGGGGGGGTATTTTTAGACCATCAACCTATTGAATCATTAGGCCGCTTTGTAGTGCTACCAGTTGGTTATTTGGGCTTTAGGCCTATCAACTGTCAGGATCATTAAGGCTGTCAACGTGTTGAGACTCCTCGCCCTTACTGAGGATGTGCGCGGCTGGAATAATTAAGTGCGCGGCATTTGATTGATTGTTGTGCGGTCGCATAGCTTAGAGGGAACAATGCTGATGAGTATGAATTTTATAATACATGCTGAGGCGAACTTAATATGGTTTCAATATTTTTGTAACGTTTAGAGGAAACAGATTTCCTTCAGAACATTTTCAATTAAGTGCATTAGATATGAGAGATGGTGAAACTTATATGTACCGTTAAAATTATTACAATCAATTCAATTTTGTAATAGACAATACAAAAATTGCTTCGGAGTTACACATTGATTTAAGATTATTTTAACTGGGCTTGCTCAATGATTAGCGTGCCAGGCTTTGGATCAGAAGCTCCAAGGTTCGATTCCTCACGTTATGTCCCAACAAAAACGCTCTGCATTTTCAGCTGTTATAAAAGAGACAGTTAATTCCACTAGTCTGATAAAAATAATTACGCAGGTGACGGTTTACTGACTTGGAGCCATCCCTCTGATTAACCGCTTTAAATTGGGCATGGTTTTGCCTTAAAATTGGGGTATCTGACTTGGATGTTTAGCATAAAGTGCTGTTCAGTTTGCAAATACCAAAGTTATTTTAACACAAATATACGGGACCATATAACCCGAGCGCTTTCGAAAGGTGGGCATTTCTTCATCAGGGCCAAATCGAGAATGACCAAGTCAATATAACTATACTACTTACTAGGAAAAAATACTTACATTGATTGCATCAGTTTTAAGTCAATTATTCAATCACTTGTCTGGAGAAGAAGTATCTGATTAGCTAAACTTCTGTCTACGTAATTTATTAGGATGTTTAAGTCTAGAATAATAATGATAATGTATTTAATGAAATCCTAAACCCCCACTCCACCCATCCTTAAAAAAAACAAAAAAAACGAATACCGTTTCCTGCGTCCTAATACATTTTATATTTTCAATCACAGCGAACTTTTACTTAACAAGATATCAAATTAAGCCATGTGTGCTAAAATTTGTAGCTAAGCAGGTAATGAGCGCAAATAATTATAGTTTTATTTTTTAATAGTAAGTTGTTATTTTTTTTTTTACGTATAGGGGAAGCAGCTCCTAGGATACGCAGATACAGAACTAGCCAATAAGGGAGGTTATGATCTAGTCCACTACGACGACCTTGCTTATGTCGCCAATGCACATCAAGAATGTAAGTCGCTTCTGAATCATTTGGTTTTCTAACTCGGACTGTTAGAATGTGTAACTGGCAACTTTGTCTTATTTAATGTGCGGATATCTTTTGATTATTTTTTGTAATATTCGTTAACAATGATTGATTCGAATGTATGTTTGGTTTTATGTTTCAACAGGAAAAAAAAAGCATCTTAATTTTACTAATATTATGGAATTAAATTCAAATGTAAATACTTTTATGTGCATTACATTTTATACTAATGATAAAGAAGCTTCGTAAATATTATATAATATTATTTCTTGTCCCTAATACTACATTTGGAAACGTATCATTTTCCTTTAGATAATGTCTTTCAGACGGATTCAAACTTTGGTATTATCTCCATGAAGGTGATGAGCTCACATAATATTTTGCGCTTCATAGAGAAAAATATTTATCCTTTGTTCTAAAAATATATATACTACTTAAAACAGACTTGTTGCTATGAGAGGTAATAATGTTTAAACAGATGTATCTGTAATAATGGGGAAACGCATTTATATTATACGATGTTGATGGCAGCCAGACATAGCCGAATGGTTAGCGTACTGGACTATGGATCTGGTTCGCATTCCCTTTCTGCAAAATCACGTTACACACTTTGTGGTCATGGGTGCGTTATAAGAGTGAAGGTAAAATCCCACTATTCGATTATAGTGACTCGTGAGTTGCAATTGATTAGCTGCCATTCCTCTGGTTGATCAATTTAAAATTAGGGATGTGTAGAAAAGATTTGTGCAGATATAAAAGTTTGTTAAGCACCACCTGTTGAAGGTTTTATGTGATCAGAAAATGTAAAAACGTTTTCGCAAATTACCGCCTAAAACTATTATCATTTAAGTGGCTTTTTAATATACCTATTATTCTTTTTCTGTCTATTTTATTACTATAAAGCTTTTACAGTTACTACTGCCATACACCTCCACATATCCACAGTTACTACTGCCACACACCTCCGCATAAATACATTACGCTTCACACTTGGTGGTCATGGGTGGTTATAAGGTTGACAGCCAAGTCCTACTCTTTCTGTCAGACAAAAGTAGTCTAAGAGTTGGCGGTGGGTGCTGTTGACTGACTGCCTTCTCTTTAGTCTATCAGTTCAAAATTAGGGCAGATGGCCCTTTGCGCGAATATCCGAAACAAACAAACAAATGATAGCCTTCACTTTATCCAGTGCCTAATAAATTGCAGGAGCCCCGCGCCCATTCTGTACAAATATATGTGCGTAAAGTTAATTACTTCTTAAATATTATATTAATACAAATATATTAAAAACAGTAAGAAAAAAAGTATAAACTAATGGTCACTAAACTTTATTTTGATAAAGTTAACCATCATTAAATTATAAAATCCAGGAACTTCTAGGGGTATTAGCCCTTTTGACCCACAAACCCCTAGTGTATATTTCTACAGCAGCTCCCCCTTAAGTGAATTATTGTATTGTAAAGAAAAATAGTAACATAATATAAAAAAGATAATGAATATTTCACCTTACAGCTTCATAACTGTAGAGAAAAATTGGATTGATAAGAATGACATTGTTTTATCTTCTTTCAGAAATTGGAAATACACGAAAAAAATACGCGACGTTAGTAAATACAATAAAATATTTTAATGAAACTGCTTGTAGATTAGTGAATGATAAATAAATTATATACTTTTTTTTTCCTCCTAAATTCGAAGATATTTTCTTAATATTGCAGTACTGAAGACTGGTGCATCTGGTCTCATAGCATACAGGTTGGTAAAAAAAGATGGAAAATGGCAGTGGCTTCAGACAAGTGCAAGATTGGTCTACAAGAACAGCAAGCCCGACTTCATTCTGTGCACCCACAGGCCTCTCATGTAAGTCATATAATCCATATAATAAGCACAGTTTACATGAAACCCGGCCCGGCATGGCCAGGTGGTTAGGGCACTCGACTCGCAGTTTGAGGGTTCGAATCCTCGTCACAACAAACATGCTCGCCCTTTCAGCCGTGGGGGCGTTATAACGTGACGGTCAATCCCACTATTCGTTGGTAAAAGCGTAGCCCAAGAGTTGGTGGTGGGTGGTGATGACTAGTTGCCTTCCCTCTAGTCTTACACTGCTAAATTAGGGACGGATAGCGCAGATAGCCCTCGTGCATCTTTGCGCGAAATTCGAAAACAAACAAACAAATACATGAAAACCCCCACAAATTACATCTCACGCACCTCCTTCACAACATAACAGGAACACGAACTGTTAATGGATTCATTTAATTTCTGTAATATTGCAAATATTTCGTAAGGGGATCGTGGATTTTCGACAAACTTAGCACGAACAATTGTAACTGTGACGTTCATTAATAGTATCAACTCCTGCGATTGTACTGCAGTGAAGAAGCCTTACATACAGTTGTGTGACAAGGATAGGTAGATTAGAAGTTCGTCTTTCAATATCCTATTAATGCAAATGAATATTACACTAAATCTTAGAAACTAAAGAGCTTTAATTTTTCCTGTGTATATGACAATAAAAACATAACGATTGAACATAAGAAAACGGTAGATATTTTCAATTTTAGGCTATTATCACTACGCATACAATAATATCACATAGAAACTTTAAGAGTAAACAAGATGGATCAGTGTTTGCTATCCGAAGTATTGCGCGTGACAAGAGTTTGTTTTACAAACGTGCCAGTTTCTCGTGTAATTTCATAACATACCATTAGAGGGCGGTGTCACCGTATAGGTGAGGCAACTAGATAATGCTGTTGAATTATCCGTAGAGATTTAATAGTGCAAAAGATGCTGAAAGCGACACAGAATTTGTATTTTGAAGAAGAATATTTTTATTTAATATTCTTCCAGTTTCGAGACTGAACTGGTAAAATATCTTTAGATCGTTATGTTTGTTTGTAATTAAGCACAAAGCTACACAATGGGCTATCTGTGATCTGCCCACCACGGGTATCGAAACCCGGATTCTAGCGTGGTAAGTCCGCAGAGTTACCGCTGTGCCACTGGGGGGCTGACCGTTATGTGTGTACTTTGTAGAAACGGACTGTGACTCGATGTACGGTGTACCACGTGATATCCTAAAACAGCTTCGTGATTCGCTAGTTTCGGTGCGTTATGGGAAAACACGTTAAGCAGATATTTACAAATCATTAGGCTTATTCTAGAAGTGAGCTTCTATTTAAATTCTTAGAAACGTAATAAAAAAATTACACCTGAACTAATGGGTTTTAGTTTCAGTAATGTATTTCATACAGTCGAGCCAGGGACCAATCATGGCGAATTGGCTAGGGCGCTCGACTCGCAATCTGCGGGTTCGAATCCCTGTTCCACCAAACATGCTCGCCCTTTCAGCCGTGGGGGCGTTATAATGTTACGGTCAATACCACTATTCGTTGGTAAAAGAGTAGCCCAAGAGTTGACGGTGATGACTAGCTGCCTTCCCTATAGTATTTCACTGATAAATTAGAGATGACTAACGCTGATAGCCCTCGTGTAGCTTTGCGCGAAATTCAAACCGGTTGAGTAGGTTTCTTTCATTTATATTTTAGCCATAAGATTTATACTAAGACACTTTCTTACGTGTTCGGATAAGGTTTGAAATTACTAAAGTAATATATAAATTCAATAGTTTTATCGGAACAAAACCCATTGAGACAAGGGATATTATGATACGTCTGTTTTTTAAGGTTCATACTTAACGCTTCTACATTTGATCAATTTACATAGAAACAGTTGTTTTATACATTTTTCCCAAGTAATAAAATGATACAATAGAACTATTAAGTTTATACATAATCTACAATATAAAGTAAACAACTATATTTTATGTAAAACTTTGTAAAGTGTATGGTTAGCGTATGTCTGTACTTCATGTTTCTATATTTTTGTTCGCACGTTTACCTTTATCCTCTCTTTATTACTGCTCTATTCTGATCTTATTTTTTTCTCAACGTTTTAGATGGAAATACGTTGTTTTGTAGTGGTTTCCATAGAAACCCAAACAAGCCTTTTTTTTGTTAACTTCCTGACTCAAATGTAGTAAACATTTAGATAGATAGAAAGACAGATAAATAAATTCAACACTTAAGGTTAAAATGGATGGACTTTTTTTTTGTGTGTGTAGTGTACAATTAAGGTTAGTAATTAGGTTGCGTTTCTGTGTTGATGATGGAAGTACAGTATCATTAGGATTACGCGGCAAAGTAGTGCATGTTCGTATGTTTACAAAGCAGCAATGATTATTCCTGTTTTTAAGGTAATTAAGTTCAGTTTCTAATATAGAACGGTAAATACGTAGTATTTTTCTGAGAGTGCGTGTAAACACATGCCATGATAATGACGATCGTCTTTCCTGATTAGAATACCTAATCACTCTAAAACAGATTATACATTTGATAAGCGTCTTGTGACCTTATGGGGGGATTTATACACAGACTTTTGCAGTGTCGCCTAAATTTTGTCAAGAACGGCTCTTGATCTCCTGAATAAACTATTAATAATAAATTCAGAGTGAAAGTAAACAAGAGGGAATAACAATATGTCAACCATACTATATGTGCTACATCCAGTGCTGGCGAGACCTTTCGCCCAATAGCGGTGCTCTTCAGGCCAGCTGGGACACGACAGACATACTTCTTGTTCAGATGCTATAAATATTAGAAAATCGCTCCACAACACTTGTTATGGTGGGTGGTGGGAGATAAAACTACGTTGGTGGAGGGACATTACCACTTAGTAATATGACAAACTATAATATCGTACTTGTCTTAAAAAAAAACACAATAGCCTTCAGCACTTTATCTTAATATAGTTCCAGAACAACTTTGTCACAAGCAACACCTTTTGATGGCGATACAAACGATAGTCTGAAACACTTCATACCGTTGTAAACATATCCTAAAGAATTTGGAACTCTTTCTAACTAATAAGTGTTTTCTTTCAATAGGGAAGAAGAAGGTCGAGACCTTCTCGGAAAGAGAACCATGGACTTTAAAGTCACTTATCTTGATGGTGGCTTAAATGCCATAACTGACCGCAGCGGACTCTTATCAGACAGTGACTTTGTTCTTCGCTGTCAGCGGACCCGGAAGTATAAATCTCAAATCAGGGATCTTCTCTCCACGTGCCGCAAATGGAAGGTCCCACATAACCCCTATTTAGAAGAACCGAGCTATAACGTCTACCCTTATCCAACGGACAACGTAAACGGACTTGCTCCTTATGCAGCGGCAGCAATGCCACAGAATATTTTTTCAAGCATTGATAACTCCCGGTTCCTAAGTCCCGAAAATTATCTTCATTATCGTCATCTGGGTGGCTGCTACCCGGAGTATAGTCACCATGCTGCTCAGTACACAAGTAACGGATTTCTGGACATGAGCTCTGCGGCGGCGAGGACTTGTTTTCCCACTGCTTATCCGGACGGTTCCCAGCTCGCTAAGGACAATAAGATATACCATTGTCAGTTGGATGCCACAAAGTTTAACGGAGAAGCTCCCCATCTGGTTCAACAAATGGGTGCCAAACCGTCCTGTTGTGAGGGATACCCTCAAACTAATGACCCTAGTGCTCAGCTGAGGGGCTGTCTCATGAGTGCATCTAGTGGTGGTATTCAACCTTTATTATCTTCCTTAGAAAGAGACCCTGCCAAGATCGGGAACCTAAACTTTGGCCTGTCCGGAGTGCCGGTGTCCGTAGGGACAGACTGTATTAACGTGATCAGACCCAAAACCACAACAGTACACAATCATTTACGAGATTCTCAGCAGTTTTCTAAAGATAGTGTCAAAATTGATAACGAACCTTTACAACCGTCCAGCTTCTCTGCCTTCACGAATGATACGAGGCAGAGCGTGCTAATGTGGGGAAATTCTTTTCCCCGTTCATGTGGTGGTCACAATAGTGGAGCACGGTCATCACTATTTGACGGGAAATTTCCGAGCTACATCAACCACATGGAAGGCATGGGTAAAACTACAGAAATGATCACGAACGGTTCAGCAGCTTGTAAATGGAGCAACAGCCCATCGATCTCTCGGTCCTCTTCCCCTAACAAGAACTCTAGTCCCTGCACAACCAAGACGATGACTCCAGTTCACTATGGAGGGACGGCTATGTCCGTTTATGGTGCAGAGATGGGTCAGGAGGTAAGGAAAGGTGTCTTTAATAACTAATTTGTCACAGTTTCTAAATTTAAACACGAACTAATTTGTGTGTGTGTATGTGTTTGTGTTGTTTAATAAGTATGAAAAAAAAGACTCGGACTCAGGAAGTTAGTTTTGGTAGTTTCTAAATGTACAGATGTGACGTATTAATACTGGCTTTCGTTTGAAGTCGAGTTGAAATTAGTAAAAGTAAATGTAGCTAAAATCCTGTTCCCTCGTTGGAGGGTATAAATTTACAATGAGATTTACTAGCCAAACTGCGTATACAATTTTTATATAGATAGTCAGTTATACATTTACCATCTAGGTAAGAGTACTCTAAACATTTTTTATATAACCGTGCTTACCTAAGTAATAAAATTATATCGAATCTAACTGGGATGAGTGTGGCCCAGTGGGTAGCGTGCCATATTAAGGATCTCAGCGTCCACTGTTCGCGTCTCGTTATCACCAGAATAAATCGCGATTCGGAGGTTGAGGCTTATAAAGGTGGCAGTCAAATCCCACCATTTAGATAGACAAGAGTAGTCCAAGAACTGTTGGTAGATGTTGCCTTTCATCTTGTATATCAGTTCAAAATTAGGGATGGCTAGCCTGAAAAACAAAAAAAACAACAACAACAAATAAATCGAATGAAGTTAGGCCTAAAAATGTTTAACTAACTACTTTTTTTGTCATTTTTGTTGCATAGCTACATCAACGATGTAGAGAGACTTGTCTAATGAAGTTCTGTAGACGTATGAATCAACTTGATGCAGATTTTGTTGCGTAGCTACATCAACGATGTAGAGAGACTTGTCTAATGAAGTTCTGTAGACGTATGAATCAACTTGATGCAGATTTTGTTGCGTAGCTACATCAACGATGTAGAGAGACTTGTCTAATAAAACAGAACTTCATTAGATAAGTCTCTCTACATCGTTGATGTAGCTACGCAACAAAATCTACATCAAGTTGATTCATACGTCTACAGAACTTCATTAGACAAGTCTCTCTACATCGTTGATGTAGCTACGCAACAAAATCTACATCAAGTTGATTCATACGTCTACAGAACGGACGTATGAATCAACTTGATGCAGATTTTGTTGCGTAGCTACATCAGCAATAAAGAAAGACTTATCTAATGAAGTACTGTAGACGTATGAATCGGCTTTATTATCTAATATGAGCAGATATGTCTCTTATCATATACGTCTTACACCACAGCACTATAAAAAAGTCAAGTGTTAGACCTAGCTGGAGAGATATCTTCAAACACCTTTACACTATTGCTGTATTCCAGCGGCTCTAAATCTTTAGTAACTCGAGGACTCCTTTTAATTTAAAGTTTTTTCGCGGATCTCCAAAGCTATCCATGTTTTGTTTTGTTTTTTCAAAAAAAAATAAAAAATCTGTGTACATGAAAAGCTGTATTTCAAAATTAAGTGTTTTAATTCATATAAATTTAATTTCATGAAAAATATATTTCATTCTATAACTCACATTTTTCAAATATTTTTATGAAATTTCGGCCATGACTCGCGGACCCCAGTTTAAGAAACACTACTCTATTCATTATGTTATATATACTAGTCTTTACAATCACACTTTATGTCACATTCATTCATGTTATAATTTCAGTTTCGTCTGAATATCAAAACGATGTACACTGATCTGAAATGATTATAAGTTCTAACATAGAGAACGACTATGTAGAATTTGATCTTAAAACAAGATAACAAAAACTGAAATCAAAATAGATAAAGATAGGAAACACGGATACTTCCAAATATCAAGTATCCGATTGTTTTTATCACGAGTTCATAGTTAACTGTAATAATTATTTTTTGTGAATAAACTTGGAATTAAAAAGACACAGCGCATATTTATAACACTGTGGTTTTACGCACTGACATATAACACGTGCATGTGTTACAAATGTGGTTTCCCGCACACACACACACATGTCTATACATGTGTGTGTTACAAATGTGGTTGTATTTCAGTTAATTTCAACTCAGCTCTTGCTGAGCGTTGAGTCTCATTAATTTTATGAAATGAAGATTTAACTTATGCAATACAATATTGCTAACATAAAGATGACGTTACATATAAATAATGGAGTTAACCATTTTTGTTAAACGACAATGAAAAGTAACGAATAAAATCTGAATGATCCATTTTATTGGAGAATGTGACCTCCTTTAGACCTAGAGCTCAATTGTAATTTCAAGTGTTATTTTCCGTGGATCTCCCACTAAGGCGTATACTTGTTTCACCAAGCTACATGTCCAAGAGAAATTTACATAGAAAGACAAGTTAAAGTAAAGATATATTATAAACCAGATATAGAAAATGTATTAATTACTAGTTCTTTATTTATTTTATAAATTCGGGAAGATACCATCTATACCCGCAACTATCAGAAGGGTTTTTACAAACCTTTTCTGGCAAATTATGAGATATTTTTATTCGCCCAACTGGAACCTCTGGTAAGGAGGGGGATCATTGAATCGGTTTTAAGTTACCTCTGGCACTGCTGAGTGAACAGTTCCAACTGGAACCTCTGGTAGGGAGGGGGATCATTGAATCGATTCTAAGTTATCTCTGGCACTGCTGAGTGAACAGTTCCAACTGGAACCTCTGGTAGGAAGAGGGATCATTAAATCGATTCTAAGTTATCTCTGGCACTGCTGAGTGAACAGTTCCAACTGGAATCTCTGGTAAGGAGGGGGATCATTGAATCGATTCTAAGTTATCTCTGGCACTGCTGAGTGAACAGTTCCAACTGGAACCTCTGGTAGGGAGGGGGGATCATTGAATCGATTCCAAGTTATCTCTGGCACTGCTGAGTGGACAGTTAAAATTTTCTTTGGCTAGTAGTTAGATTATTATAACCGACCGACTGGAACCTTCTGTAGGAAAATAGTGGATGTATGTCGAAAGTTATCATTCTTTCTGCCCAGTGGATATTTAAAGTTTCCTGCTGGTTGTTCACTAGATTATATTATCCTCCCCAGTAATATCCTACTTCTGCTACATTTAAAGCTGTTTTCGCTAAAGTTGAGGTTGGTATTTAAGTCATTAAAATATAGTATTACTTAAAACATAATGTCTCTTACTAGATGTTTAAGCCTTTTATTTTGTTACGATTATACCATATATTAGCTACTGATAAGTACGAGGAACGATTTACAAATTATATTATCAAAATATCGACGTACATTTCAACTAATAACGTATATTTAATACCGTTGTTTTCACTATTGAAAAAGGTCTGTTATTACTTTTCTACAGTTGGCAGTGATGCGATGTAGTTGTTCTCAAGTATTAGAGCGTTGTAAATATGACTTACAAAAACGTTACAGCATAAATATGTAATGCTGTTTCGAAAGGTTTGGGTTCTGTGATGAACAATAACTGCCATACATTAGAAAATAATGATAGTTCACATATTTCAATTAAAATTCGATATATCTGTTCAAAATTATATCATATATATATATATATCTTAAAGATTTATTTATTTAAAAAAAAGTCTTATTCTAACTTTAAAAGTCTTAAATGTAGAAAAATTTACTAGTCTTATCATTTTTATGCTTCATTGTCATGTTTTAGTGCTGTATACTATAATAACGTTTGCTAAAGTTATCGTGTAAAAGAGAAGAACAATGTTTCCTTTGTACTTACACATCCCTAAGTTACACAGGAATTGGACATCATAATTTATCGTTTTCTTAGAATAATGATTTGTAAGTTAAGCATAATGATAAAAATGTTAGTAGAAGAAAAGCTGAAGAGTGGTAACTTCTTGCAGGCCTGGACAGTAGAGCACCTTAGCCCATGGAGACCACATCTACGTAAGTTGTTCATCCCCTGCTTGCTGGTGCATTTGTCATGGTTTTTTTTTTGTTTCTTTTTGTTTTAACTAACCCAACTAAACAAATGAGGTAAAATGGGTGCTTGGACCCCTAGCTCCTTGGGCTAAGCCGACTTCTGCTCCAGCACAAACAGTGCCCTCTAGTTACTAAAACATGAACTATCTAAGATAACTGCATGATTCTGTTTGGTGTACTAATTTTCCACAGTTGCTATCCAGCAAAAAAAAAAAAAAAAAGAAAACAAAAGTATGTCTTGGGACACTAATTGACTATTTCTTTACACTAACAGAAAGGATTTAGATGCTTTATGTTGCTGTTATTTTTCGTTTGTTTGTTTGTTTGTCTACAGACATCAATTAAAATAATCTTAGGTGTATGTACTATTTGTTGTATCATTTTAAGTAGAGAAAACAGACAAAAACGACATATACAGCCAATATGTGCTTCTAATGATATACTTTTATTTTGAAGATCTCTTGAATATCCCAATAATATATTGGTCTTATTCTAAAATCGCTTAAAAAACTAGAAAAACGTACAATTAAAACGAAAAAAAAAGCAGCCACGTGTCAACAAAACAAAGCATTCACGTTGCGATTACTGTAAAATTCGTCATTATTTTCCAGCCGTATACTATCTTCTATATATATACATATTGACATTGTAAAAATGAAAGCTAAACCAGAGTTTTTTGGCGAACACATCACAGACTGTCTTTGTAGTCGTTAACTGGTTTTTCGAAAACTCAATGAAAGTATATCATTAATAGGAATTTTTTATGATAGCGTCATTAAGTTTCTATCTACTTTTTATCTGTACGTTATTAATTATTTATCAGAAGTTCTACAAGGTGTTATTGATCTAAACCTAGAAGTGTGTCAGCTTAAAAACTTCGACATCTAAAAAAAAAGGGAAAAGGGAATTATTGAATTTCGAATATTTCGTTTTGTAAACTTTCTGACTTCGTGAAGAGTTCAGTAAAGAAATCATGAAACTTGCTATAACTGTTATGGCTTAAGACGGAAATAAAACTTCTATCAGAGTGGAGAATGATTAGATACACGGATATATATCTATTATCTCGGAGACAAGCGGGATATTTTGTTATCTCAGAAAAAAAGACCAGAATTATTTAATGAATCAGTTCTTCAGGTCTCTAGATCTATAAATAAGATATCTGTCTGATACAATATATTAAGCCCTATTTGCTGAATAACTAATAATTAAATGACAAACGGTATGAAAACATAATCTAGCAATTAGTTAATTGTCGATCAAAAACAGATGATTTTCAAATTTTCTCGTTTAACATGAAATTGTTAATATATTTTATATGCATAAAAATTTCCTACGTCTGGGTTGCCCACCTGATAACCCTAGAGTAAGCCCCAACCGGCCTATTAACTACCAGGCGTAAATTAAAAATAAATAATTCAAACTCAAAAGATATCTCATTTTTAATGTCTTTAACTTTGAAGCGTAATACTTCTTACCTATTAATATGTTATTCTGGCATTTAATACCGATCGACTCGATAAAGCTATTATACATTTTTTTTCATCGGTAACTAGGGTTCGGCCCTTGAAACGGAGCATGCCCAGGTGGTTAGGGCGCTCGACTCGCAATCTGCGGTCGAATCCCCGTCACACCAAACATGCTCGCCCTTTCAGCCGTGGAGGCGTTATAACGTAACGGTCAATCCCACTATTCGTTGGTAAAAGAGTCGCCCAAGAGTTGTCGGTGGGTGGTGATGACTAGCTGCCTTCCCTCTAGTCTTACACTGCTAAATTAGGGACAGCTAGCGCAGAGAGCTCTCGTTTAGCTTTGCGCGAAATTCATAACAAACCTTGAAACCGAGCACAAAACACTATGCGACCCCCCCCCCCCCATATCATAAAGTTGGACGCTATTTCTGTTAGTAAAACAAACGTTTACAAAAATATGCAAATCTCCGTTTTGATTAACAACACTTGTATGTACATAACGAATTATTGTAAGTTATACTGTAGGTTATGTAGAGTTTTTTAATTCATTTTGTCATATACATATCTATATATTTCTCTTTCAGCTTCTCTTGGCTAGATTGGAAAATGGCCGACCACCATCGGTCAAGCCTGACGGCAATCCGCTTCTGTCCATCTCCGAGGTCACTAATACGTTGCTAAACCACGAATAGCTATAACAGTGTTCACTGATGTCGACGTACAGGAAAAAAAAAAAAAGATATGTTTAGAGCTTCTTAATCTCTGAGAGCTTCAATAGATGGCGGCATCGGTTCGTGATGTATTAGTAGCATTTTTGCGTGCCTAAATCAGGCCTCGTCGGATGAAACGCAGCGGCTTACGTACTTTTTGCACAGAATCTGATATCCACTCTGGTGAAAGTTTTACATGAAATATGATGTAAAAAAAATTGGCAAATGGATCAACATAAAAACACACTGACACACGTAAACCTATTTTCGTGTACTAGTATCGATTTGTGACAGTTGAGGTGTTGGAGGAATGAATATCAGCATAAAACTACGTGTAAAAGAATAGTTTCTCTAAGTGTTTATAAACTTTTATGTGGTGTTACAATAAAAACCTATAACTTCAAAGAACAACAGCATTGCCAAAATAGGTTCACACAGCCACCTTTTCGATTTGAAGCGGAAGCGTGATGGGCATTACTCACGTTGATAAACATCTATGCTTGACATTTATCATTTACAGTAATCATATATTTTAACATTACTTCAAGATTATGAAACACGAGTCAATAATTTAGTTTCTTTTCAACACAAAAAGCTGGTACAGATTTTGAAGCACCTAAAATTTTTCGTTGTGATTTCACTTATACACATTCTTCAGCACCGTTAGCAAAGAAAAAACTTTAAAAGGACAACTTGTAAGTTCAATTTCTGCTTCACAAGTACTTATTAAAACAATAGGACACAGACTTTCCTGGTGGTTATGTTGATTATAATTTAATGTCATTTCAATCATATTACCTGCTTAGAATATTAAAATTGTGGGTTTCCATATATATATATATTAACTGTAAAAATGTTGTACTATTGGTACAGATTTCGTTCTTTAGAAAGATATTGTAAATTTAATAGTTATTTCTACCAGTAATTAAATTACCGCTCTTTAGCGTTTACGGACTCATGAAAACTAGTTAGTCTTAACATAAATTTGTATTAAAAGAATCACTTACTTATTTACTACAAGTTTAGAAGCATTTGATATGGCAAAGTTTACTAGATATCATTACATAGGTTCTTCCAAAATTAATATGCCTTTAATTTTTTACTTTTTTTGTACCTGAAAAAGTAAAAAAAAATCACGGAAATGATTTTACAGTATTTTTCTTTTCTATGAACATTTATTTGTAGTTATTTTCTGTTAACTTACGCTTTCTAGTCTTTTTTTTCTTCTTCAAACAAAATGATTTCTAATTGTGAGCCCTCCTGTTCTACCAAGTTATAAGCATAGTTTTTCTACTCTGTCGATATCTAAGTTAAGCCTCGTAACGACTTACGATTAGCCTTGGATCTACTGCATAATTCTTGAATTACGAATTAGCCATATTGTTGCGTAAGACAATTCTCTAAATAATACTCAGATAAAAAAGAAATATAAAACTCCAAAAAACATAACGATAGTTTGTTCTGTTTCTTTCCGGTGTCTCATTTTGAGTACCCCCCACCACTGCCGATAAACGGTAATAGTTCGTATGTCGAATAAATGATATACATCTCAAATATTTCCTAGGACGAATATTTCAACGTTCAACCACACTCTCAAGAGATGAACACTTCAAATGAATGTCGTGCAGATATTTATCTTCAAATAAATTTGCTAATTAAAAGAAAGAACTATTACGTAACGTTATACCAAACGTTTTGTGTGTGTGATATTCGGGTGTGAAACAAATGAAGAATGGCATCAGATGAAAGACAACTGTCTGTGATTCAGGAAGAGCTTGCGTAAGTGGCGCCATCTGGATAAGCTAGTCAAGCAAGCGATACACGCATGCCAAAAATGTAATTGATAAAAGTAAATCAAATATAGTATGAAAAGAGTCGAACTGAAAATTGTTTATTACTGTAGAAATATCTCAGCTACCTCAACATTTTCATGAACTAGATGTAACCATTTTTGAGGGAATATCCGTTATTTTAATGTGAGATATTGTTGTGTTTGTGTGACTTATCTCTGCTGATATTTTGTAAGTATTTCTGTCTTGTATATGCTGAGTATTCAATATTATTGTAATTTTAATTCGGGTAGAATCAAGAATTCTATTATCTTCAACGGCGTGATTACATCATTCTTAATAACTGTAAATATTCGATGAACATTTGACCAGATTTAATGTTTTGTTTTTCTCGTCGTTTCTTGAGAACACTGCACAGAAATAAAAGGTTATTGCTTCTCTCTAATTATTTTCGTTGTATTTGTTATTCCAAGTAGAGCGGTTGGTCTGAACTTCGAAATATACAAAACACGAGAATAATAATTTTTGACGTCAGCATTGACTTGAGGATACTTGCTGGTATTTTTAAATAGTCGTCGAATGGTGAAAAAATTACGTAAATCACAATTATACATTAGTATTTCACACTAAGTTCAATTTTTATGGCAAGGTACAATAGTACATTTTAATAAGAGTTAAACGTCAATTAATTTTACACACAAAATGGCTATAGGTTGTTTTCTTTTTTTTAATTTCTGTGTATTTTTGACGTGAATAACATCACATTTAAATATTTTGCTATGTTCCAACAATTATGTATATACATATGTCATTAAGTCCACCATAGTTGGACTTTTAAGAGAATATTATTTCCCCAAGAGTTTTTCATAAAGATGAAAAACAGCACATCTCATTTAGTGGATTATGCTCGTAAATGTCTCATAACAGTCTTGTGTATGTATGGATGTTTTCTTATGTTTAAGTACACAGGGTAAAATTAACACAGTTTTATGATTATCAAAAATATAATTATTGATGTTTTAATTAAGCTGGTTTGTTCACTGTTTATATAATTAAAAATGAGTAGCTAAATAAATATGATTGATGAAATAAAGCCCCCGCCCCTCCAAAAAAAAAAAGAGAAAATAAAATGTAAACTGAAAGAAATATGAAGAATTTTTCATTTTATTTTAATGTTTTACTTTAAATAAAATGTAACATTTCTTACACTTTTCATGAGATAGTATAAGATACACTAACAAGTCACTGCAGAAAGAAAAAAAGACAATACAAAATAAGAGAATCATTCCAAATTAATATTACAAAAACAAAAATGTTTATTTAGCATCGAATTATGTTAACAGCTTTCACAAACATACTATAATCAAACATTTAGTCCTGTAACCAAATAGACAGCTTCACTGTCTGTACCACAGACAAGAACTGTATCTTCAACATCCAAACTGTTAACAGCCTTCACATACATACTATAATCAAACATTTAGTCCTGTAACCAAATAGACAGCTTCACTGTCTGTACCACAGACAAGAACTGTATCTTCAACATCCAAACTGTTAACAGCCTTCACAAAAGGAGGAAGAAGCGAGTCTATTTCCAACCGATGTTTTGAAGCATCACATATAAGCCATGGATTTCCAAGTCCTGACTGGTTAATTGTTGACAGACCTGTCCAACAAAGTAATCTATTACACATTGATATCTATGGTAAATAGATTCAGAAAATAAAGAACAGAATTTTAATTTTGTCTATAGCCATAAAGAGGGGAAATTAAAAGAAAAATAAATTTATTATATTTTTGGGTTATCAAAATAAATATCAAAACTGATAAAATGACACTATATAGCAGAGCTAGGCTATTATTGGAATTTTCTAATAAATTAATCAACTGTCTCATTAAATGATTAAATTCAACTAATCGTTTATTCTCACACGAGACTTGTATATGTTTGAATAGTTGCAAACAGTAATAATCAGAAACATTAATTTTGATTATTTTCACGACATTAATCAATCAAATCATTATTTTGATACTACGTGATGTAATGAATGTTCATAGACAATCAGTTATATCAAGTTTATTGCCCAGCTTCACCAAGGTTGTGAAATGAGAAAATTTACAGGGTTATAAAACTGATATGCAATTATATTCAATGAACATAAACAAATGAAAAAAAATATATTTTAATCAACTCTTTGAATTGAACATCTTGTAATTTTTAAAACCCGAAAAACTTTATTTTTCTGTTATTAATAATTTATTGAAACTAAGTGGATAAAGCTTATTTTTCATTGACATAGGTAGGCTGATAATAGTTGTTATAATTCAAAACAGCAGTTTTCACCTGATCATAGCATCAGATAAACTGTCCAATATACGAGGCATGTTTCATCAAGAGAAACTGCACCTTCTGATAAGATATTACAAATAATTATAACACTTTTCTTAAGTTCTACTTTACAGAAGGGTTTAATGTTTTCTTTCTTCTAGATATCTTATGCATCACATACGTTTTTAGAGACACCCAATAACAAGAGAAAATTTTCAACTGGATTTATTAATGTTTCATTACACATTAAAAAATTTAAAAGTGGCTCTTAAGGCTAGCATTTATGATGGAAGGTTTCTCTGCCTCACAGTTAACACACAAATATTTGGTTATGTTCAAAGTAAAAACAAAGCAAGAAAAATTGGAAAAGTTTATTAAGTACTTTTATTCTAAGAACTACTAAAGTTTAAAAATTGGAGAGAGTCCTTTAAAATATATAATGGTTATTTTTCATGCTGAGAATATTTGACTTATTCATCATCTGGAAAGATGATGATGAACACTGCTGGATATAAATTTTTGTTGATGTACTTAAATTGTGTATTCATTTTGATTATGAATGTAGAGAAAGAGGCATTTTCACTACAATAAGATTAACTTCCAAATACCATAGATTCCAAATTTATTTTCAAGAAGTTCTTTTTCATTTTTGCAATTTTAAAACATTTGCATTTCGGCTCATCTACATCAATAATTTTACAAAATTTTATACTTCACGTCATTTGTTTATGATAGTGATAGGACACACACGACACTAAAAAATATGTAAAACTAAAAAAAAATATATACATAAGATCTCCAAAGGTCCCTTTAAACTATCTCCTTACTACCCGTGACCTCAGGGGAATTCCAGAATTTATATTATTTAAAATGTACTTCTTCTCAGAAGTAAATGTCACACTGAAGAAGATGCATGATGTGTTGAAACCAATATCTCTATACAAGCCTTTTGATAGAATATCATTTGTTCAAAAAGTATGGCTTTAAATTTCTTTTAACTTTTAAACATGTTATTGTGTTTTTTTCTCTCACAATTTCTAGAACTTGTTTCAAATAGCATTGCACAAAAATGCTCAGAAGGTCAATTGACCTAAGCAACACTTTGGAAATCCAGAGCTATATCTAACAATTTTGTAATAGATCACATGAAAAATGCATGTGTTAAAAAGCTCTAATCATTGGTAACTAATAAAAGTAAGCTTTGTCAATATGATAAAATTGTAATCACGATATCTGATAGTCAGAAACTGGGAAGATTTCAAAATATTTAGCTGCTGGGATGGCTCCAAAAGTAAACTAACCTTAAAATGAAGGAAAGTCCGGTGGCTGTAATTTAAGTAAGTATAATAAAAAACATTTTTAATTTTATAAAGACAATTAGGGATATATATATATGTGTAACCTAGCTAGCTATGGTAATACAGAAAGTTTTAATGCTATAAAAAGTATTGAAACAAGAAAGTCAAACTACAAAACTGAGTTACATACAATTTTTGAAATGTTATCCCTACTTTGGTAAATCACTGTAATTATGTTAGTCTGATACAAAGTAGGGATAAGTCACTCAGTTTTGTAGTTTGAACTTTCTTGTTTCAATACTTTTTGTAGCATTAAAACTATAACAAGCTAGATTACATACATATCGATCCCTACTTGTCTTTATAAAGATAAAAAAATTGTTAGTATACTTGTTTGTTTCCTTTTTATTAGTTATATTTTTATGCATAAGCAATATCAAGTGTGGGGTACAGGTATATCTGATTCCATTTTATTACTGATCAGGATCTCTTCCAACCTACCCTAAAATCTACTTATATGTCCAAAGTAGCACATCATCTGTTTAATAGATATGTTTACACTAGTGTTATTTTTGATACAAGAAAGGAATCATTGGGACCCCAGATGGAAGAGATCTGTGAAGGAATTACAGCAATAAGGTTCATCATTTTTTCTGTACGCTTGTCTGGAAAAGTCACTTAGATGAAAATTCATTGAAATAGTGAAATTTTGATTCACTCCATGAATACGTACAGTGATTTAGGTACTTTATAAGTACAATAAGCTTCATTTTTGCTCATCCAATACTGTGAGATAGTCATTGTTAATATTCAGACATTTTACATGTGGTTTTAAATTAACGATTTTGATTTATCACAATCCCTACTATTAAGTACTACCGTACTTACTGATATATATACTGCATACATCTTCAGAAAATTAGTTTCACTGTTTTTTATATGAGTACACACGTGCGTGTGTGTGTGTGCAGCTCCTCACATATTATTTTTAAATTAATATAATGTTTTGAAATCATACATACCAGAACCTCTTGGTGTTCCTGTAATATTTAAAGGAGCTGTTTTCAACCCTGATGCATTCCACTGCCAAACAGCACCATCTAATGAGGAAGTGAAAAGATGATTAGGATTGGTTGGGTGGAAACGAACCTCCATCATTGAAGATGCATGGGCATTAAGGATTGTTACTGGACGACTCTCTTGTCTCATGTCCCAAATGCAGAGTGATCCATCTTCTGTACCAGTAGCCAAAACATGAAACTGTGAAGGGTGCTGATTCATACATGTGATTGAAATTTGGTCTCCAGACCTATAAATTATGTAACAAACAAAACTATATCAGATTGAAAACTGCTTTTTTTTTTTACATAGGTGAGAGTGGAGTTTATATATCATACAAAATTAGTGAAATATGCTGCTGTAATATATTCCTGAGAAATTTACTTTAAATAATAAAATCCAATGTGTCAAAAAGATAATTTTCCTTAATTAGATTAGGCAAAATTAATAAAAAAATTCATACAGTGAAGATGAATAGTAAAACGAAACGCCATACTCATGTATTCTATAGATTAAAATGAAAGAAAACACACAGATTGGAGTTGTGTTTTTGTGACCAGATAGACTGACTGTCATGATTTAAGGCAAAATTGTGTGAAGACTTCAAAAATGCCACAATAAAAGTTTCTCTCAACAGACTTGTTTGATAACCGTTTCAAAAATAAGCAAAATAAGAAGATTTTGGCAATAATTAACAATAAATGGAATTAAAATAACACAAAACAATGTCACATACATCACTGGTGTGAAAAGGCCACATTCCTAGTGTTAATATTTTCCTTACCCGGAAATCTATTTCCAATAAATACCTCTGCACACATATTGGTTATTTTCCTCAGCATGTCTGCTAAAGAGATTTGTACGCCACTAGCCTTGAGGCCACTCCCACCTAATATCACATTATTCTAAGTGATTTGTAGTACTGTATAATGATGTCATCATGTGAGAAAAGCCTTCCATTGAAAGGAAGGTGACACGCCTATAATCCCCTATTTGTTTATGCTCATGAAACTACATTCTTTGACAATGTGCACCAGAAGTGGAGAGGATGGGTGGGAGTCTGTGAAGAGATGAGTATCTATTGGAAATACACTTTGAAGAAAGGAAAATGTTAATTTCCGAGACAATACCACACCTGCACACACACACTTGACCTAAAATCCCACATTGAAGTGGTGGAGGGGCCACTGCAAATTGTACCTAGATGAGCTCCCTTCATAAAGCACCCAAAGAAAGCCCATGGGGTGTGATACCCAATGGCAGGAGCTCCATAGGGGCACATAGGAGACTGCATCTTGTCTAAGACAAGGATATTCTCTTCACCCATATAGGGAAGAGGCAAAGAAGCCAAATTTGTGTCGCAGGGTCAGGCAGAATGTGAACATGACCATCCAAGTACTTGCACACCAGTTGCTGGACAGCCAATATTGTGTAGTGTGGTTGGGCAGCATTCAAACTATACCATGTGTGCACATCTCAATTCTAGCATTAAATTATACAGGACTGACTCCAGATGTGGAAGGATGGCACACTGTTACGTAATATGTATTCTTGTATATACAAAGCAAAAGTAAATTGTATGTAAACAATACAAATTAAACTATGAGACAATATTAAAATTTTTTTTTAATACTTATAAGAAAGATACCTCTCTTTCCACATAAAAATGACATTAAAGCAATGAACAGATACGAGAAAAATATGATTGACAAACCACACCAAACATCTTTAAATTTTGATTATTACTGAAAGGAAATAAAATGAATTTTTTTTGTATTTCAAGCTACGCTTCTAAAAATTTAATGTTTTGAAAAATGTTATTAAACAATGATGATATTTAATCAGTTAGGGAAGAAAGCTGAAAATTAAAGCTATGAAGAATAAAATCAATGTACAAATTAATGAATCAAAAAATGGACAAACAAACGTGATCATGCATTTTTTAACACAGATCCCTCTGTTCTTATTATATTACTGACATACAACTCTTCCAAGCTATTGCCTTGTGTGTACTTGAATCATTTCAACATGACAAGAAACATTTAAAATATATACAGTGAAATAGTGGAGGCATGTAATAACTTATGGTACATACAACAAAAGAATCCGATTAGGACTGTCAGAGTTGGATCTCATATCCCACATTTTCAGATGCCCACGGATATTCCCTACAATGACTTCTTGCTGGCTTAAATAGCTGACACACGTCAGACTACAGCTGTCAGCTTTATCTAAGAAAAAAAGATTCAAAACAAAACCTTTTATCTAAATCCAAAAAAGTAAATAGTTATTTAACCACAAATGTGTAACACATAAAAAACATTTCACAACACCTAATGTTTCTTAAAAACATAACGAGTCATTAGTACCTAGAGATACTAAACAATAATTATAGCTTCTAACAATAAAACATATTCAATATCATGTAGTACCAATCCAACTATTTATTTGTAGATAAAAAAACAATTATCAACTAACTTGGATTTTAGAATGATAAGATTTATAACCAAAAAAAGAAAAGAAAAATGAACTACAATTTTCAACTTAAACAACACCTTATGCACACGAACTAAACAGTCTGGTCAGAGGACGCTATGATTCAAGTATAACCATCCTTAATTTGGAACTATTTAATGACCAGAAGTAGGAGATATTGTCTACTTTTTGCATGTTATAAGTATATGTTTTTTTGTGCATTATTTAATTAAATTAAAATGATTTGGTGTGTTACTAACATTAGTATAAAAAAGTAGGCTCTGTCATTGACAATCTAGAGCAAGAAAAAAGAAGATTGGGTAAGTACTTTATTTCTTGTTTTTCATATTTATTCTTTATTTATTATTATTTAAATGTAAAAATGTGGATCTTTTTTAAGTTACTTAACACTAGATTAGGTAAAATAAGTAGTAGTAATAAAATAATTAAAATGGTCCATGAGGTACGCATGCGAGCAGCTCGTAGTAGCTTGTTGGCTTGTAGTTAGCCAGTAGTACCTGCCTCCACGAGGACTTTTCCAGCTCTTTGAAATGAATAACAGGATTGACCATCACTATTAAAGCATGCCAACAGCTGGAAATGAGGTATGTATTCAGCAGCATCACATCTCAAATCCACGATATTTTGGTAGCCACTAAGCCACATCTCCCCCAACACCACCATCTCAAACCCCAGATATTTTGGTAGCCACTAAGCCACATCTCCCCCAGCACCATCTCAAACCCCAGATATTTTGGTAGCCACATCTCCCCCAGCATCACATCTCAAACCCCAGATATTTTGGTAGCCACATCTCCCCCAGCACCACCATCTCAAACCCCAGATATTTTGGTAGCCACATCTCCCCCAGCACCACCATCTCAAACCTTAGATATTTTGGTAGCCACTAAGCCACATCTCCCCCAGCATCACATCTCAAACCCCAGATATTTTGGTAGCCACTAAGCCACATCTCCCCCACCACCACCAAAGAATTAATTCATAATTACTAAAGCAAACAGTAATGAAAATTATAAACAAAAAAAAGAAACAAGAAGATAGATCTTATGCTTAATGTTTTTGGCAATGACCTAACCCTTTCACCAGCTATTGCTTAGCCAACAAACTTACAATTATTATTTCACAATCACAAAAAATACAAGCAAATTAGAATCATCCTTAAAATAAGAGATATCTATATACCTATGTAAAAATATGGTGAATAACAACAAACAATTAATAAAAAATGTACTGAGTTATCTAACTGCTGTTTATTCTAAGTACATTATCAAAATCTTTGGATTATAGTGTTAGTTAATCTTAAAAAGTGTTAGAGAAAAATAATAAAATATTAACAAATAATTCAGTTTTAGGACAAACAAAACCTCACATACATACATAGATAGAGCAAGTAAAGGGACCTAACCACCAGTCATGCCAGTTCTGGTTTATATGTAACCACATTCTTTATATTCAAATCTAGACAGAGCTGAAAACTGTCATCAAACAATGAAAAACTAATCAGTTCAAACTGTATAAACATAATATCTTAAATAATGACAGAATATAACATCAAATTAATTTACTGCAGTGTCTAGGCAGAGAAGAAGTAAAGCTCTAGTAGACAAAAGATGGTTTCAATGTTAACAGATGACTAAAAAATTTCTAGAAATAAGTAATGCCTTAGCTATGTATCTCTAGCGACATTGAAATATTGCTTCTTAAAGTCAGATCTATTCAATGTGCCTGTTGTTAAGTGTTACTAAATTCCTTATAAGGAGTTGTTTTCAAACTGTTTCTAAATAAAAGAAATTTATTATTTTTTTAACACATTTTCTACCGTCAATAATGTACTTTCCATTTTTAATATTAAAGTTTATGACTTTCAGATTTTTCACATAGTATGGTTGGTCGTAAGTTTATCACATTAAAATGTTCTTTATTAAAAAGTATTGAGCCATTCATTTCTTTTAGGTAAGTTAAGAACTGTGTCATCTCGGACAGTTTGGCATAATCGAAGATACCGTAATGTGGGTGATTAATTCAGATAGCTAACTTTTACTTGTATTTCTCCTTAAAAAACAAAAATGGGTGGTTTGCTTGTAAAAACTTAAATAAAATTCCTGAAGAGGCATGAATAATCAAAAATTTGAAAGTCTACTTTTTATTTATCTCTGATACCCTTAACTGATTCTTTGATTTTGCTGAATCTTCTTTGTCCATGTGGTCCAAAATGTATATTTAATTTTACCAATCACTAAGAAGTCGGAATTAAGTTTAAAATTTGTTGGTAAATTATAACAAACAGAGGTTCCAAACTACACACTAGTGGGGGTGAATGGATGGGTATGATAGGCAAATTAAAGCATAACACGAGGCCTATACTTGTATATGTAATTACAGAATAAGTTCATTTGACACAATAACTTATGAATCAAGGGTAAATATAGTAGAAAATGCATTCTGTGTCACCAGCATAACATTTCACAGATCCAATTTTGTAACTCATGTTCTAGTTACGTTTTGTGTGTGTGTACAAAACTACCAGTTTTTCACTTGGTATATTTGTGTTGAAATTAAACATTTATTAAAAAAAACTAACCAATTTCTCTGGAATGCTGTTTTCTAGTTATGTTTAAGACAACCAATCGCCCATCTTCACCAACAGTACAAATTTCGTCTTTCCTTGTAGCTATACCTGTGCATTGAGCTGGATTCTTTAGATAATGGTGAACACCCTCCCAAACATGTTGCACTTTCAAAGTCTTGAAAAACAAAATCATAGAAAGATAAATTAATTTGAGTTATAATGACAAATTATATATTTTAACAAAATCAAAATAATTTATAATAAAAGTTTACTTTATGTAAGAACTAAATCTCTTCAATTCATATAACAAGAAATGTCAAAATTTTAATAACAAATTTACAAGTCTTTTTTACATGAATATTATAAGTTTAAAATAATTGTAAAAATAACATTACAACAAATCAAACTAATATCTATAAAGCATTATATCATCCAAATAAAGTTTCCACTTTATTTGACAAAGGAAGAAGTTAGAAAAACTCAACCTGGCTGATCGGAGAATAAAATTAGCATCATTTAAAAGTTATACACATAACTGAACATCACAGCCAACCAACATTTTTCTTTGAAATAAAATAATTTTACACACTCCCACCTCTAAAGCCAAGTCTCTTACCTGATTACGATGAGACTTAATGAGGGTCAGTGACCCTGTTGCAGAAGCTGCTGCCAAAATATCTCCTGAAAGAAACTGCAAACAAAAAAATATATTTTTGTTTTCAAAAGAAAAATCCTACATTTAACTACAGTACTAATATATTATAACTTATAGAACCCAATTATCGTATTTTGGCACTTAATATTCAACATTAAAACTGGTACACAATTAAAAACATTTTATTTAGGCCTATCTATGGCCTTCAAAAAGTTGACGACTCTAGATGTTTCAACATTGCAACGTCATCCTCAGGATTATCAGCTTTTTTCTTATTCTGAACAAATGACATTTGTAAAGCTAATATGTAAATATAAAAGCCACTGTCTGTTGGTATTGCCTCAGTGGTTAGAGTGCCTAAACCTCGCATGGAAGTCTTTTGTTGTAATACCAGTACAGTTGGGATAAATAAGTGATCATGTTCAGAACAAGCTCTTTCAACATTCAGAAACACACAAACACCAAGGTTCTTTAAATTAATATTTTTTAACATTCAATTCTAAACACTGGATGTCAAAGTGATTCAGCGTGAACAGTGCTCGACTCTCATGTAGAAGTCTTGCATTCAAAACTAAGTTGGGATTTTGTATTAATTTTTTTTTTTCATAAATGATCATACTTACAGCAAGCTCTTTCACTACCATTACATATTAAATCAGGGATTTGCAATATTTGTTAACATTTGAATTAAAAGATGGCATGTTTACAACATCAAACCACCTCAGCTTTTCATTTCAATTGAACACTTCTAACACCATATATGAAATAAGTTCTAAACTAAAATTCTGAATAAACTAAAAATAGTTCAGGAACAGTGAAAATATGAAAACATTGCTTAGCAAGAGGAACAAAAAGTATATGGATGGCACAACAAAATTAAGAAAGCTTAGCAAAAATTAAGATAACTGAAGCAGAGGAAAAACCGACAGACAATCAAATGAAGCTCCTGAAGAAACAAAGTGAAGAAGACAAACTGATGCTGAAGGACATGGTAATGGGTTCTGGCCACCCTATGTCTTCCCCATGTGTTGAACAGGTACATCAGCTAGTTCCAATATAAACCATACATATAAAGTATAAGATCAGTATACTAACCTCTTGGATGATGGTAGACAATGCATTTACAAATAAAAAATAAATAAAATATGGTCATACATCATAAAATACTTTTACAAACCCTTGACTGTTTTATCATACTAAAATACAGAGAGCTCAATTATTACTATTCTCTTCTTGTAAATTGAAATATTTCCTTTCTAATTAAAAGAATGTGCCATAAAATTTTTATGAATTTCAAACCCCATTTTTCAAGTTAAAGAACAAGGGATGAAAGAATGAAAAACCTGCTAAACCAATAAAATCCAGAATTTTACAACATATAATTAAATATGTTCAAAGCACCGAAAGTACTTATCATGTGTAAGCAGTTGTTTGTATCAGAATTCTCATGAAAAATGCACAAGTGCAAAGTTATCCTTGATACTAAACTAATAGACTAGAGGGGAAGTAGTTAGTTAATAACATTCACTATCAACTCTTGAGCTACTTTTGTTTGATCATAGTGGAACTTGACAATCACTCTTATAGCACACCTATGGCCCTAAAGTGTAGAGCATGTTTTTCCAGCAAGGGATCATAAACCATAAATGCTCAGATTCACAGTTCAGGCATACTAGCCACTAATTTAAATAATCCAATGATTATATTCCACTCCTCACCAACTGCTTCATTAATGCTTGAATGTATTGTACCTTAAAATTTGTAAACCAGAAATGCTACATATTACTTTAAATTGTGGGTGAATTTCCTTGAGAAAAAAAAAAAAGCTATCACAATTTTTGGAAAACTTTTCACAATAGGCTAAAGGCAGAATGTAATGACCTTAGATAAATGTTTATTTACATTACACACATTTAACAATGATTTTTTTTTTTCAATAAATATTTTTATCCTTAACAATGTGTTCCTCCATCCATTTTGATAATAAGAAAGGTCACAAAGAAAGGTCTGCAAAAATTCATCTATGTTGACAGTTCTGATAGAACAGGGCGAATCAGGCTACACACGTGAATTTTGATAATAACAAGTTCATGCTTTAGTGAAGCAACTGGAGACTGGGGGTTAAAATGACTGATTTATATAATTATATAAATAAACCTAACTGTACATATAGCAATGAATATTGATACTGAGTGTGTGTTGCAGACCAGCAAATGCTTTGACTACACATGCGAATACATAAGGTGCTGAAGCCAGACCAAGAATGAGGGTTGTGAACTGATAAATCACTCCCTAATGGTTTTGTTTCTGTTTGTTTGTAGCTAAGCACAAAGCTAGTTTATCCATCCTTTGCTTTTACCATCAGGGAGAGCCCCCCAGTGGCTCAGCAGTATGTCTGTGGATTCAACGTTAAAAACCACATTTCAATATATGTAGTGGGCATAGCACAAATAGCCCATTACAGAGCATCTTTGATATTAACTTTTCTTATCCAAACACCCTTACGAAGGAATTTATATAAGATTCTCATGGCTCCCATCTTGAAATGAGGAATGTCTAAATATTATGAAACTATAACGAATATGTTCAATGTTGAAAAATTAAATGCAAAATTACAATATATTTTAAGTTTGACTATTCTCTTTAAACAAATTCTCCATCTAATCATTCTTACACTGGTTATGCTGAGTTTCATTGTTAAAATGCTGTAAAAATAATTTCATTATAAACACAAGGACTTTTTCTTAACGACTTTAAGGGGGTAAATGTCAATAATGTTACTCAAATTATAAACTATTGTCTACAGTTTATATTCTTGACAAAGCTGCAAAGAAAAATATCAGAAATAAAAAAAGAGATGGTATTGTGTCACTTTGAGTGTCTAAAGGAAAACTTTTCGTACTCAAACTTTCTTAGCAATTGCCATTTCTATGAATAAGAAATAAGAAAAACTGATTATAAACATTTTCATGGATTAATTCACAAATATCATTGCAGGTCCCACTACTATCACTACTACGGACATGTGATCCTTAGCTTATAAGTTTCATCATTTGTGCACCTATTTTTCTATCTATGAAGACATGCAGATCTGAAAAAGTTCATTTTATTTTTTACATAATACTACTTAAAACAATTGGGTGAAATCACCAATTTTTTAAGTAAAATATATAGAGTGCAATAATTAGTGTGATTAATTTCATATTGACATTATTTTATTTACATTTTTTGTGGCTCATATGTTATTATGCATTTTGTAAGCAACTTACTACTGGACCCACAACCACTTTGGTGCATAAATAGTTGAGAAAAATATGTTTAAAACCTGTTGGTTAAGATGATTAACTCTCTAGTGTTGGCAGTTATGGCAAAAAATAAACTTTAAAAACACAGGAAACTTATAACCTTTGTATTCATTGTAAGAATACAAAAATTCAGTTATCTTGTCAGATCTCTTAGCAGTAATTTAGTTATGCCATCTATAGATAAAACACGTAAACTTGGTAAATTGATTTTCAGTTTTATAAACCAATTAGAGCTATACAAAATTCAGTTCTTAAAAACCAGCAACGTGAAAACTGAAACTTGTAGCATTCAAGATGCAGTAGCTTAATTAGCTGAAGCATTTGACTTGTTAGTGGTATTGTTGGTTCAAATGCTGCATTCTGATATATATATAATATTTATAAATGCTTTTAATGGTAATTTCTTTAGCTTTAATCACAAAATATACGACTTTTGGAAAACATCAGCTTAGATTAAGAAAGCTTAAGAAGGACCTAGGATGAAGGACTAAGTTTTAACACATAAAAAATTAGGGTAAATATCACTCATCAAATCACCAAGTGACATCTTGATTTAAATCACTTAAAAAAAATAAATTGAATATTCTACCTTAGAGCTTCACCATTCAATGAATAAAAAAAAACATCACAAACTTTAAGTGAACTCAAATGTTTGACAACTGAAGAAACTAAAAAAAAATTTTTTTTTTTTATTATTATTATTATTACAGAAATACAAAGACATATCTTACTTTAAGGTCAGTAACATCTCCATGATGTGGTATTTCACATAATAATCGGGGTTCTATTTCAACATTCTTCACTTGGTCTTCATTTTCTATTTTCATTCCATCAATTATAGTTTCTGGGCAATGCCACATGCAAACTGCATTGTCCTGAAAATATAAGTTGTAATAGTTGAAATATCAATTGGTTTAGTCTTCTCAGATACAACTGGCTGATAATGCTAGAAATAAAAGCAAGAATTGTCTTATGTATTTTAAAGGTAAACAAAATGTTAAAATGGAGATTGGGCTGTTAAAAGATGCTGGATAAAGCACCAGAATCAGACAAGGTTTCCTCCAGAGTTTGGAGGTAAACGATCAGGTATACGAGTCTCTCTCTCTATCTCATTTTTGGTATGTCAGTAGAAATAGGCAGGTGCCTGAGCATTGGAAATTTGCTAATGTTATTCCAATTTTTAAATGGGATGATAAGAGTTTTCCTGGAAATTATAGGCCAATTAGTCTTACTTCTGTAGCACAGAGAGAGAAAAGTTCTAAAGATTCTGATAAAATAAATTTTGCAAAATCATTTATTGAATAAATCTTAAAAGAAAGCCAAGATGGATTCACTAAAGGGAAATATTACATTACTAATACGTCAACTTTTTCAAGGACATTACTTATTTGAATGATAGAAAGGGTGTAGACTTTTAGTAAGGTAATGCACAGAAGAATATGTAAGAAATTCACATCAGTTGATGCTGAGGACCAACTTGTTAATTGGATTGTAGGGTGGTTGAATGATAGAAAGGGTGTAGACTTTTAGTAAGGTAATGCACAGAAGAATATGTAAGAAATTCACATCAGTTGATGCTGAGGACCGACTTGTTAATTGGATTGTAGGGTGGTTGAATGATAGAAAGGGTGTAGACTTTTAGTAAGGTAATGCACAGAAGAATATGTAAGAAATTCACATCAGTAGATGCTGAGGACCGACTTGTTAATTGGATTGTAGGGTGGTTGAATGAGAGAAAGGGTGTAGACTTTTAGTAAGGTAATGCACAGAAGAATATGTAAGAAATTCACATCAGTAGATGCTGAGGACCGACTTGTTAATTGGATTGTAAGGTGGTTGAATGAGAGAAAATAAAAGGTTGTTATTAAAGAAGTCCAGTCATAATGGGCCACTGTTGCTACTTGGTAGTGGAGTGCTTCATGAGTCAGTGCTTGGGCCTTTACTTTTTTTTTCTTATTTGTATTAATGATATTAAAAGAGACATAATTAGCAAATTAATAGTTTGCTGATGATTTAAAGTTGGGTATTTCTAGATGTATTCAGGATGTTGTCATACATGATGTCATACATCTCAATGATTCTAATCACTTGGTAAGTTGAACAATCCCGCGTACCACCGCTGTAACCCACAACACAGATGGACGAAATCGTGGGAGGAAGACAGACAACCCGAAACCCGTGTGAGGACTATGTTGATTGGTTCACTCTAATTCCAACACCATGCCACAGGGAACCAACATCCAGATGGCACAAGGAGGAGGACTCCCAATCGAAAGGATGAACTGCATTTTTGACAACTCAACTCCAGTGGTTATGGAAATGGTATCAGGAGGCCACAACATCCAGGGCCAAATCTCATCTTCATCAGTAGAACACCACCGCCCTACTTTCAACTGAATAGTTATAGCCATCTTTTTGTGGAACCCATTCAGGAGGGTGCCTCCACGGTCAACCACCCCAACAGTTTGGAACTGGAAAGTGGTAAGGACTCCCACACTCCACTAGAAGAAAGGAGGGTGAATACACGGGGGATAGTCCGGGGGAGCATCATCACCAGAGACAGTGCAATGGTTGACCATGAAACCCTATTTTGAAAAGCGGACCATACTAATTTATTCAATAAAGGCATGGCAGGGATGGGCAGCTATCCACTCCTGTTTTACCCATGCAGTCCATGGGTGGTACAGTCTGGACCAGGCATGTTTATGAAGCAAAAACATTGTGAGGTTATTCACTTTCAAGCAATCTTGTGTGGACCCCGATTCAAGGGTTCCACCCGAACCAAGTGAAGAAAAGATTGTTAATGAAATGAAATAGAAATGATGATATAAAAGAAAGGAAATAACATAGTTAAACTAATAAAGGATATATAATGTTAAGCCTAATCAAATGGTATAGAAGAAAAACAACGAAGACTAATTATGAATCGTAACATAACTTAGTATTAATTAATGTAAATAAGCATATGTTATGGAATTCAAGTAATTAGAGATAATAATATTAACAACAAAATTGTAAAACGTCTTATCTTTCCAAAGTTGGCAGATTGTATGGCAAATGGTGGACCACAAAGCACAAGGTAAGGTCTGATGAAATTCCATACATTAGACAATCAGACTCCCAATGAAATAAGGTGGAAACTGACCATGGAGTAACGTGAATGAAAGCCATTATAAATGTGCAAAAAGAACACAGAATCTCTGTATTGAGAACAGAGACTACATGATGGAAATGAAAAACCAAACACTCGAAATCCAATGGTGGAAAAAGGCTATCAAGAGCTTTGTCCTGCCAAAAGTGGTCAGCTTCTACAGGAAGAACTGTCTCCATGTTTCCACACGAGATTCCAAAGTCTCAGGAATATTTCCAAAACAGACCACTGGAAAAAAGGGGGCATACACAAGTCACGGAGATAAGTAGGTGGTAAACAAACTCTCCCCAGAAGATCCCAACAATGGAGAAACAATGTGTGTAAAGAAAGAGCCTAAGAAGACAAATGTGCCAATGTGAAGATAATCAGGGAGAGGGTACCACCCCAAAAAAAAAAAAAAACTCAGGATCTCTATGGAGCACCTCAGAAAGGAGGTGAATAGTGGACAAGTACCATTGGAGAGTTGATAGGGTAAGCCAAAGGTGGGAAAACTGGGCGTGGGACAAATGAACAGGACAATCAAGGTCCCACACCCCATCACAGGCATCAAATCCAACAGTTAAGAATGGTAGGCTAAAGCAAACTGATCTGAAGCCCATGGAGGGCAAGGTATGCCAGCACCCTCACACAACTGAGACAAAAAACTCTCATCGTAAACCTCAGAAGAGGGAAAAACAAAATACTGAGAGGAGGAGGTATCATGTAACAGGAAAGGAAGAGGATTGTAAGAAACCGGGGAAATGGATAAAACAGAACACCCTGAGAAATCCCAAGATCAGGAGGAATATGGGCAACATCAGGAGAATAAGATTGACTCATATAACAATCAATCTCATGGCAGATGAGAGCTGATAATTCCATAGTCTAATTCTTCCCACTTGCAGCCTGTGTAGGTGTGCTTGCCAAATGAGAAGTAATAACTCAGTAGAATCGAATAAAAGGGAGTCACATGCATCGGGAGGGTGTGTCACATTCTATTGGCAGAGGGTTGTCACATGATCCTATTTTCTATAACCAATCTATTACAAACTACATATAGAAACTCCTTTTCTTATCTTTCAAATATTCATTTAATCTCTCCTTGAGCTTCTTCAGTGTTCCAGTTTCTAACACACATCAAAGCAAACTACTCCTTATACTAACCATTCTATCAGAAAAGTAACAAACACAAACAGTTAGGTTATATGAACCACAAATCATAGTTGTTTATTGAAATTTTAAACGAAAGAGGCATTGAAACTATATCTGAAATTTCTCAAAACTCGAGTCTTTTTCTTTTTTTTCTTCTTTTTTTTTGAGGGGGGGGGGGTCTTGAGGTGGGCAATATTTTTGATTCAATGAAAAGACCTCAAAGCTTTCCTTGAGGTAAAAACAGGAGCAATTAACAGGAAATGCCAGTCCTACACAAAAATATGCTGTCATCTTACATTAAGCAAATTAACTGTATGACCAACATTGTTATTAATTGATACACATAGTAATACCAGTAATGTATTTTTTTCATTAACACCACATGTACTGTCATTATGTAAAAATCCAATCAATACAGAACAACCAATATAAAAGAGAAACCTTGGTATATAATTCCAAGTTATAAATATTTAATAGTGACAGACTTTAAAAAAATGAGATTGAGTGGTTTTTCATATAAGGAATGAGCTGCAGCATGTTGGGAGTGAAAACAAGAAATTGTAGTCAGGAGGATGAATGTATAAAAATTACAATCAAGAGATCCAAGGGTAGAAAACTGAAAGTTTTTAGAGGTAACTGTAATACATATGTAGGTCATCTGATCACAACAGTGACGTCAATGAGAAATTGTATAACAAAATCAAAGTTGTTACAAAACAATACTAATGCGATAACAATTAGAATCTTTAATTTATAGAAAAAATCATATTGCAGTGGGTGGTATAAGTAGCTCAGAACTTTGGCTCTGAGCAAAACCAAAAGTACAACACAATTAACCTTTTTAAAGTCCGTGAAATAATTTAAATTGATAGATTAACTTAAACTTTTTTCATCACTGGGGACGGGTACTTTTGCTTGTCACTGTATAATTAGGTTTGAGTCTTACTATAAATTACAATAATAAAAATAATTTTTCTTCCTAATTTTCATTAAAGCTACTCTTGAAGCCATGACACAAGATTATTCATTAGTAAATTGAGGTAATGAGTTAACAGGTGATGTGGGACAAATTTGGGACATTTTAAAAAATAAAACTGCATTTAATTCAAAACAGTCATGTACCTAAAAAGAAGAAAGAATAACACAGAAGATCAAACCAAATCAGATAACTATGTACATAAAAAAGAAAATCAGGTTAAATATCATAAACGTAAACAGTTAAAACTGTGAGAGAGGAAAATTTACAAAACTACAGGTAAACTAGAGATCTGGATAAAAAATAAATTAGAAAATCAATAATGACTTATGAGAAACAGCAGATAACATTAAACCTAATAGCAAGGATTTTGAAAAGTATGTTAAACTGAGAACAGGGCCCTTAAAGAATGATGATGGTAAGGTTTTTGTTGAAAACTATATGACAGGACTGAACTGTAAGTTTCTTTGTGTCTGTTTTTACAAGAGAGAATATTATCAATGTTCTAGGTCCTGATAGATTAGGAATAAAGCACCAAGACCAGACAACATGTTTCCCAGGGTTTTAAAACAAGGTCTAGATCAGGTATGTGAGCCTCTCTCTCTTTGATTTTTGGTAAGTTAATAGGTAAGGTTCTGGTGATTGAAGAGTTGCTAATGTTACTTCTATTTAAAAAAAAAGGGATGAAAGATTCCCTGGAAATTATATACCAGTTAGTCTTACTTCTACAGTAAGAAAAATTCTGGAGACCAATAAAAGAATCATTTAATAAAATATTATATAATTAAAAAAAACTAAAGTGGGTTCACTAAAGAGGAATCTTAACTGTTTTTGAGAATGTTGCTTGTCATCTGGTTGATGGAAAGGGTGTGGATTTAATATAATTAGATTTTCAAAAATCTTTTGATAATGTTCCACACAGAACATGAATTAAGAACAATACATCAATCTGAGTTAAGGAAAGACATTAATTGGCTTGTGATGTGGTTGGATGGGAAAAAGCAAAAATATTTTATTAATGGAGTACTCTAAACTGGACTCTAGTTACTCAGGGGGTCAGTGCTTTTTTACAATCATATTAATGATATAGGCAGGATCAGTAAATTAGTAAAATTTGCTGATAACATTAAACACTTGGGTATTTCTAATTTTATTAAGGATTCTGAGGTACAACAGAATGACTTGGATCAATTGTTAAGCAAATGGCAATGTAAGGCAATGCATTTGGGTCATGTTTTTAATATAAATGGGATCCACCTAACACTGACTGAAGAAATGGAATGTGGCATACTGGCAGATAGGTCCTTTTTATAGTAATAAAGCTAAAAAGAGGTAATTATCTCTTTATAAAAATCACTAGGAATACTGTGTGCAGTTGTGGTCTCTTTATCTAAGAAAGGATACTACTTATTAGAGAGGATTCGGAAGAGTCAAAGCCTTTGTGTCTTCTCTTGAGAAAAGGAGCATAAGAAGTGACCTTATTCAAATTTTGATTATCCAGGAAATCGAAAAGACAGGGGCCTCAGTTTCTTTGTGCTGTATTTTGAAAAGAACAGGATGAGAGGAAACAATTTTAAGAATTAGAAGACAGACTAGACTCCACTTAAAACAGTTATATTTTTCTAACTTGGTGATTAGCTTATGGAATGAGTCACCAATGGCAGTAATGGTGGCCAGCACTTTACAAGAGTTTAAAGGGAGAATGAATGATTTCTTAAAATATAAAGGATAAATTTAAATCTTTACTTTTCTTAAGGTTGGGTGAACAGGAACAGACTTGAGGACCAAATTGTCCCTTTTTGTCCATAATATTATGCTTTTTTTTGTTAAAGTCAACAGTTCTCTACACATACCTATCCTCATCAAACAATTGTTTATCCTTACCTCATCATCCCAGCTTCCTGACACAAAAATGTGTGGTTTTTCATGCTGCAAACTATCACGGTGTATAGGCTGCCACCTAGCTTTACTGACCTTACGAGAAACAAATTTCACACAAACTTCAGACATTTCTGGTGTAGCTTACTAGAGAAACAAAAGATAATGTTTATTTAATAAGGCATACATTTGAATGAATGCAAATAGAATGGCTACGGTTTTATGAAACAATAACTAAGTCATGTTTTCTGAATAAACAGTATCTTCTTAATGAACTTGATAGTTGAATAGAAGTTAGAAAAACTAGTAGAATAAAACAGTTTTGAGAAAAATAAATGAAACATGAAAAAGAAACTGTGTGACAGAAAGCTCTTAACGGTCATATACCACTCACCAAAAAAATCAATCATAAACATTAAAATCAAATTCGAAGTAGCGCTTCACATACATGTACCCATGAAACAAATGTTTTCACAAATTTAGATTAATAGCACAAATCATGAAGCAAAACACTTCCAAGGTGATCTAATGAAGAGTTAGTTTCCCAGATGGCTAGATTTGATTTGTGGGTTCCAAAATTTACGCTTACTACCCTTAATATTCTAAACTTTTAGCTACAACAATCAAACTGACCACCCACAGAAAGACTGTCAATAAACCTAAATTTACCTAAAAAACACCTGATCCAAATCCCATCTACTTTGTTCACACTCCAGAGAAGAAAAATAACCAAAATCTAAAGCTAACCACACATGGTATTGTATCACCTCACCACAATCTTATACAAGATTACAACAATCTTCTAACACTAATTTTAACAAGCATTTAAATATCATGCAGATATGGATTTCTATCAACTGGTTTTCACCACAGCTAATCATTCAATAAGCTTAAAGATTTCATCTTCAATCACATCTAGTTCTTCTCTGTTTTCCAATGCTCCTCTCACATGATATGCAGGTTTGTTTGTTTTTTTAACATTCTTATATCCAAAGCACATCACTGTATCTAGACAATAATAAAATTTGCTTACCTCATTTCAAAACATTCATTAAAACTATTCAGATACTTCGGCACAAAACACTCATAACAGTATCATCTCTTCTTGTTATCTTAGTAACACAAACAAGTTTTGAAATATTTACTATCGAGGAAACTATTTATTATTAACATATATAAAAAAATAAAATACATTAGTTATACTCTCCCTATCAGTGTAACATCCAACAACATAGAATGCTTTTTACCACTAAGCCTATTCTGAACATACTTCTTAATCTTACCAGCAATCTCATAAAAATCTAACTTCTTTTTAAGCATATTTTATCAGAAACTTTTATAAAATCATGAAAAAAAAAAAAATTTTCAATATCCTCATCTAAGAGGGCAGAAACACAATAAATAAACACCTTTTTGTCCATAGGTTATGTTAAACTGATTAGATAATAAAACTCTTTCCTAAAATAATCTTATTAATTAACTTACAAAGATGCTATTTAGTTGTCCAAACTCACATACAAGAAAGTTTGTTTAAGAAATAAATAGCTATCTTCAACTTAAAAGGTTTGACCTTGTAGTCAAATTGTTATATTACATCCATTTCAAAAATTGACACATCTATTATTCTCCATAGTATTCTTCAACAAATCATTGTTCCAATAATTAATGACCTTAAGCTATCAATTGTACTTAAATTTGAAAACAATCTTGCATCTAAATATGAAGCATTATATATAAAACCACAACTTCAGTTGCTACTACTTTTTAAATCTTAATCATTCAAAGGGTTTGGTGATCTAACTTCTAAACATTTTAATCGAATACAACACAGTTCAGCTTATTTTAAGAATTTAAAGTTCGCAGTGCAGTCAAGAGGAGTTTTTTGTTGTTGTTTTTTTTCTATTACTCCAGTATTAGAGTATTAGTATTAATGGTGCAACATTGGCATACAGTATTTCTCCAAATAATGGAACAAATACTTTATGCCAATGTTGCACCATTAAGGCTTCATGAAGAAAATTCCCCTGAAGTCGTAATAATGAAATGTTGGCTTAAAGTTAAATCATTTTTCTTTTATCTGTACTAATACTAATAGTAACAGGTTATTTTTTATTATTACACTGTTTTTTTTACAGTTATTATATTTACAGTTCAACTTAATTTTTGCTCCATGATGCTTAGAAATACGATTTATTAACTTCTTTTTTCATACGTGAACTCATAACACTTGATTTTTAAATGCTATTGTATGGGGGGAAAAAAGAGAATTAAAGTGAAAACTGAATCACGTAGAAAGCACAATTCAATATTATGACTTACCTGTAAAAAATTCTAAATCTAGTTACGAGACCTGCTTATAGTTTAAACTTACAACACCATGTAATTTACTAAACAATAGACTACAAAACTAATAATGTTATTTACTTTTCTTTTCACTTTCAAAGTTTTAGTTTACTAGCACTGGTGGTAACAGTGATACTGATAGCAGCATTTTGAAATAGCGTGTCAGTTACAGAACTTTCTACTCGTGTATTATCGCTTTCACAAAAACTTATAAACTACGATCAAAATATAAATGAAAAACTATACAAATAATACACTACAAATTTATAATTTAAAAGACATTACGCACACAATTGTTTTACCGGGTACAAAACAGCGACACCTTCTATACTGTCACAATTACTACACTTTTCTATTGTCGTTTTTTATAATTACTATATATTTATTGCATTCAATTTAGTATAATTGCACAATAAGCCTTGCTTTCAAAAATATAATTCAAAAGGTTTTAATGAAACAATAATATTCTTCCTATATATATATATATATATATGTGTGTGTGTGTGTGTGTGCGAGAGATATCAAAAACATGATTTTTAAAAGTGTAAAAGTTGTTTATAACTTGTATTCAAAATGTAATTAACCTGCCTTAAAAAATGTTTGAAAAGCTGTATAACTTTTTAAAGTAATTATTACAGTCCTTTTTAATATTGAACGATAATGACAGTATTTTTAACTAACAAATACGAGAGAAAATAAAATTAAAATCAAATAATAACAGAACTTGACTAGCTTATTATCAACCAGTATGTATATTTTTTTTTTACTAAGCAATTTCTCGAGAAAACAATAAAGTGGAAGGATAGAGAATGAAAAACGGAAGCACGTGATCGATAGTACAAAGTTTTTTGATAAATCTGGCTTTAAATAGAAGTTGCGTGACAGAAAATTTGAAAGTGAAGATAAAATGTAAAATAAGTAGATAAACCCACAAAACTGTCTAAAACTATTTAGAGAAGCTTTGGTTTAATGGTTTGTTATGAATTTCGCGCAAAGCTACACGAGGGCTGTCTGCGCCAGCCGTCCCTAATTTAGTAGTGTAGCCACAAAGAATATCAAAGAAGTTTATGGAAATGTTTCGAACGTTCGTAAGTCTCAACGATAGTTCAGCAAATTTCGTTCAGGTTACTTTAGCTTTAAAAACTGTGATGGCAGAGGCCGACATGTTGGAACTAATATTGATGCTCTGAAGACGCTTGTTGAGTCTAACCGAAGGCAATACACTCGTGAAGTAGCCCTGAAATTGCATGTCTCTCATAAAACAATACGAAAACATCTAAGGTATACGGGAAAACTCCATAAAGAAGGTGTTTGGGTGCCTCACGAACTCTCCGATGATTATCGTTTTCAACGTGTGAACGTTGCTTCGTTTCTTCTGGCGCGTATTGCGCGTGAACCAATTTTGGGCAGAATTGTCACCGGTAATGAAAAATGGATTTCTATGCGAATATTAAACACCAAAAACAATGGCTCAGTCCTAGACAAAAACCACTTCCGACCCCAAAACCTGGACTCCATCCGCAGAAAGTGATGCTTTGCATTTGGTGGAACATCAAAGGAGCAATTCATTTCGAACTCCTCAATCCACAATGAACTGTCAATGTAGAGATCTGTAGTCAGCAACTGGAATGTTTAAATCAAGCCCTTCATCAGAAACACTCATCAAAAACATGTGGCACGTTTTACACAACACAAGATTATGGAGTTGGGTTGAAAAGTTCTCCACCCACTATATTCTCCAGATATGGCACCATCAGATTACCATCTTTTTCGTTTGTTGCAACACCATCATAATGGGAAAATGTATGCAAAGGTGGAAGATGTTAAAGAGGACATCGATATGTTTTTTTGCTTCAAAGCCAAATGATTTCTTTAATCAGGGAATTAACAACCTGATTGTATGATGGAAAAGCATCATTAATAAAAATGGAGACTGTTCATTTAATAAATCTTTTGTTTTGATATATAAGTTGTTCGGGTTTTTTCATTTAAAAAAAGCGACATTAATTTCTTGACGACCTAATACATTGGCAAATCATACCTAGATTTTCATATTGTTACTACAGCGGAAGTCACGTGAGGCTGCTAGCGCATGCGTGACTGAGTTTCTCGAATTATCGGGGAAGTTCGAGTGTGATCGAGACACCTCTTCTTTAGTATATAAGCTTGGCAGCGAAAGTGCTCTCGATAGTGCTGCTCATCCATCATGAGTGTTAGCCACACTAACAAGAAAAGGAAGAAAGACCGTCCAAATAGACGAAGAATCGAAGTCTTCCTTATCCTCTATTTCTACCGTCACTGCTGCCTCACAAATATCACCCAAGTCCAGCACATCTCGCCTCTCCCCAGCTCTTGAAACTCAAAAGAGCAATGTCCCTACACAAGCCTCGTCGCATCTACCCGCCATCATCATCGAAGAAATCCCTGCAGCCCTCAGACAACCTCAAGTTGCCGCTGAACTTCGCCGTATATGCCCGAACATTAGTTTCAACAATGTCCGCCGACTTCCCTGAGGAGGCGTAGTCGTCAAGTGCACGTATCCTAAGGACTATTTCACTCTCTTGAAGCCATGGCCCACGGATGCGTTCAACAGTTGCCCCATCAAGCCCCATGTTCCTACTGACAACGAGCCCAGGAAAACCATAATCATCCGAGGAATTCCTCTCGACACTACAGACCAAGAGATTGATGAGGAACTCCGCTACAGAGAAGTGAAGTTTCTCAACTTCTCCCGCATCAGATCTTCCAAAACTCATGAATTAACACCGCTTGTCCAAATCACGCTATCGGATATCAATCAAGCTTCTCAACTCCTCCAAGACGGCATCACACTTTGGTTTAGAAAACTTAAAGTCGAAGAGCCAAATTTCTTGAGCCCCCCAATCCTTCAGTGTTTCAATTGCCAAAGATTCGGCCACACCAAAACTGCCTGCACCGCCAAACCCCGTTGTCTAAGATGTTCCGGCGAACATCAAGTCAGCGATTGCCCAAAGGATAGAGCCGAAATCAAAGGCAGTAACTGTGGTGGACAACATGCGGCTTGCTACCGTGAATGCTCTAAGTTTCAGTTCATCGCAGGTATCAGTAATAACTATTAACCAAAGTTTACTAAATAGTAACTTTAATTCCGCCTTCCTAACTATAAAATCACTTCTAAACCTAAAAGTACACACACCAGAGGTATTGCTATATTATACGATAATAATCTTAACTCTCATCAACCACAACACTCCCACTTATCACGAGCACATTCTTTGTAAAATCAAAACTCCGTCCCTACTTGATTTCACACTCCTAGCCATTTATATGTTACCCCATACAACTCCTGACATCACCTTTCTAAATACTATCATGTTAAATTTTAACAATGTCATTATCCTCTGATACCTCAATGCTTCACACCCCTCACTTCAAGGATACACCACAAACACTTCCAGTAGGCTAACTTCACAAGAATACATAACCTAACTGTTATTAATGACAACTCTCCTATCCACACACACCACAACGGAACACAAAGCATCATCGACCTTGCCATAGACCCACCAGCATTAGTACACCTCACCAGTAATTTTAAAGTACACGAAAATATCGGAGGAGACCATAATCCTCTCTCATTTAAAATCAGTAATCCAAACTGGTCAATACCTAACAGTCAAGTCCAGCACCATTCAAACATCCCCAATTTTAAGAAAGTTAACTGGAACACATTCAATCAATATTTAGACAACAACTTACCCGACCCCGTAACGTATGCTAACTCCGAAGAAAATATAGAGTATTACTACCATAATATCACACTAGCCATAAGCAAAACCATAGACACGTTAGTTCCAAAAAACTACACTAAAACCACGCCCAATCACTGGTCATTAACTCCCGAAATACATAAACTCATAATATCCAGAAGTAAGCTCCGTAAAGAATTCATCAACACCAGAAATCCTGCTATAAAAACCCAAATCAACTCTGTCAAAAACAAAATAGAAAAATTAATTAAAATTCAACAACGCGAGAATTGGAACAACTTTTGCAACAAGCTCGATAACCTAAAACCAGACCCTTCTACCTTTTGGAAAACTTTTAAAAGCATATGACGTGAAAATAGTGATACTGGCAACATATCATATAACAACCTGACAGCCTCTCCTGATGAACAAAAAACAAAACTATTTCGAGAAAACATTTGTTACGCCACAGGACGCCAGATTCAGTAGTAAACACCAGGACAAGATCAACTCCTTTATCAACGCTTAACACCCATCCTTTTCCACCTCTTTCCGGGTCCACACACTACAGCACCACACTCCGAGTTCACCTCAAGATATGTCTACACCTATAACCATACCTGAAGTTAAAATTCACCTGAAAAATCTCAAAAATAAAGCTCCCGGCGATGACAAAATCCCCAACGTAGTTTTAAAAAACGCATCCCCCAAACTTCTGATACATCTCACTAACTTATACAATCTATCTCTTTTCTCGGGTTATCTCCCCAATGCATGGAAGTCAGCACTCATCACGGTTATCCCCCAAAAAGGCACCCAATCAATAAATCCAAGTGATTTCAGACCCATAAGCTTAATTAACTGCACTGGCAAACTTCTAGAAAAAATTATAACGACAAGGTTATTATGGATGCTAGAAAACAACATCCAGAACGCGGGACGCAAAAACAGACAGACTGCAAACCACCTCGTTCAACTAATTGAAACCACGTTTACAGGATTTAATAAGCTACAGGCCACTACTGCCACATTCTTAGACGTACAGAAAGCTTTTGACACTGTCTGGCACAACGGGCTTGAGTACAAGTTAATAAAACACAAAATATCCACGACATTCACAAAATGGATTTCTAACTTCTTATACAATAGATCGTCGAAAGTTAAAATCAACACTTCAGTCTCACAACCCTTCACGTTTAACGCAGGTGTACCGCAGGGGTCTGTCTTAAGCCCTCTGCTGTATACACTCTTCGTTAACGACCTACCGCAGCCAACCACGCCTCACAATACGCCGACGATATAGCCTTATGGAGCATCTCCTGGGACCCTCCACTAGCGGCAAAGAAAATCCAAACAGCCCTTGACAAAATCACACAGTGGTACAACAAATGGAGGTTAATACTTAATCCCACTAAAACCCAGGCAATCATACTCTACCGTAGATTAAACAAAAGACTCAAGCGTGTCAAGCTAGCTAAATTAAACCTCTACAATAACACGATCTCATTCACTAAATCCGCCAAATTCCTAGGAATAACCATA